ATCTCCCTACCCTATTCACATCATGGTTAAGAAAGCTATGAAGTTCATAAAATCCTCATTGTTCAGAATATGCCTTCCACTTTTTGATTCTATTTTTGAAAAACTTCTCAGGAAAGACTATTTTTAATTCTATTCTTCCTTTTAGATATAAGTATAGTATATTATTAAATGTAATGTAATAATATACTATACTTTAATATTATAGTATATAATTCCTTGACTCTATTTAAAAATGCTACTGAATGCATTATATCCAGTAAACTAAGAGTCTTCTCTTAAAAATAATAGCTTTAATTACTTTTGGGTGAAAAATCACTTTCATGGTTGACAATTTATAGATAAAATTAGATTTAATTTTTCTGGAAGATATAATTGACTTACAGAGGCTAAGAATCATATAAAAATAAAGAGTCATACATTCTAAGAATATGACTTAGAAAACTGTAGCCTACTACTAAGGGTGGAAATAAGTGAAGATCACTCAAACGCAAACAGGCACAGCCTATTTAGTCAGAGCTTGCTATAACAAGGGAGTCAGCCACCATCATTTGTGTCTGGCAGAAACTCAAAAGCAAGTAGAGGAGCAGGAGAGCTTTATGGTGGGAGAAAAGGCAAGGTTTCGAGGATGCTATAATTGGAGGCTATTGGCAGGGGAGGCTGGAGGCCTGATGATAGTAAGTGGGACGTCCTGTGAGACTGGTTAGGGGAGCAATGTTTGGCTTCCCCCCCTAGCCATTTTAACCAAGAACTGACTTAAAACTCTGGATAATTTTTCCATCATCATATTGTTCTACGCATTTATATTCTTCTTATCAGTGAAGAGAAACATGGTTGATTTGCTCCTTTTTCTAGTTAAAGAGGATTCTGATCTATCTGAAGTAATTATAAAGTAGAAATCAATTTTTGATTCAGCAAAATCATAAATCAGTGAAATGATTCAATCACAAAAGACTTCCATTGCTTCTGAGAAAGGATGAAGAGATGACACTTACTCTCATTAGTTTCAAGGTTCGTAGACACAGTGTGCTTTGAATTCCTTACCAGAAATTGTCTATTCTCTTGAATGGAACCAAGCAAAGACCACTCTATAACACTTTTTCATTTTGCTTTGGCTCAGTGTTACCAACATATTTTTTTGCAAACCACAAATATATACTCTGCAATGTAGAAATATCCCCAGTGCTACACTCCTGTCACTGGATCTGAAAATCTGTCCTGTTAGATTAAATAAAAATACAATACTAAAGAAATTTGTATAGGCAAATTATACCAACAGTATACTGGTTTCACTTTCTTGAGATAGAACACTCTGACATGGTAGTTAACAGTAATTAATAAGTGATAAATGAAACAATAAAATGTCAGTTTGTAACCAACCTTGCCAGACTCCTGATGTTGCTCTGACCCCTGTCAATCAGTCAAGCTAATTAGGAGGATCAGACAGCCATTAATAGCTTTATGCCTGTGAGGTAAGTGGCCTGTTAGAAATACTATGGAGTTAAAGGGGCCCATATTGAGGTGTGAATATCCCAAGGGCAGAATCCAACAGCAAAAGAGAAAGTGCTTCTCTAATTGTTTCCTCATAGGCTACTATTTGCACCTCTTTCTAATAATGTGCTATTCAGATTTTATCATATAGTGGCTCAAGGGAGTGTTGTATATAAATTACACAATTGTATCTTTTACACTGGAAGAATATGTTACATGTGCAGTTTTTTTAAAACATTCATGAATATTCATTTAGGTAGCTTATAATTATAAACAATACCAGCGTCTATCTTACCTTTGTGGCCTCTCATTTTGACAACAAAGAAAGTGTATTAATTTACTTGTATTTTTCCCTATGTAAATCATCACCAATGAGAAATGATAAACTCATTCTGCCTTGTATAATGTGGGCAATTAATAAATAACAATTAGAAAACATAACTTTCCAGTGCATTTTAGAGACATTATGTTTTAGATAAAATAATCTCCATTTTGAATGTGGCAAATTTATACAAAAAGCACTACATATGTTCTTGGCATTATCTCCCAACTATGAACTTTTGTGGTAAATAGAGACAAGGTGTTAATTAAGAGAACTGCCAATCCAAATGAATAATGGAGTGTTGGAAATAGCATGGGTGAGGGTTTGACCTTCTGTGTCAGAGAGGTGCTCCAATGATGAAGTCTCAATTTTGGAACTATGTCTACAGAATAATAAGAATATGGGAGGGAAAAAAGTATAGTAGTGGGCTCTTTATTAACTCATTCAGCTGTTCCTAATTAGTTTTAAATACTGTCAGGCAATGTTTAATGAAAGACTCATCAAGAATATGAAATGAATAAAGGTCACAGTATATACTATCTTTTCAACCCCCCAAAATTCCAAGTAAATATTGAGAATAGATACTTTGTAAAGCAGTTCCTAAATAATCTACATTAAGAAGCAGCATTAAAAAAAGCAGCCTCTCTCTTCCAGACACTCAGGCAGCCAAGTTAACTCAGCCACCTTAGCTCAGGGCAGAGGAGTGGGTGGGTAAGCAGGTAGGAGCTTGGGAGGTTTTGTTTATGGTTAATTCAAAGACAGCCACCTTTGACACATACACAGTCTGCAGGAAGGCCTGTGTATCTCAGTTACCTAGTTCAGGGCAGTCCAAATCTGAAACCTTTAACCAGGTAATTCTATTCCTGATTCTAACTTGACAAACAAGTTGGGAGTCTTTCTCAGCTTTGAGGTATTCTCACTAGAAGGAGTGATCTAGTCACCATTTAGACAGGTTATTGAATTATAAATCTCTAAGGTTTTTAAAATGTTTGGAAACTGATCATTGTCTATGAAGATTCTCCTGAAACTAATAAAGACCTCAGGCCATGAGAATAAGAAATAATTCCATGAGGCCAATACTGCTAATGACTTAGTTGCCTTAAGAAAGTAGTTTTGGTTTCGAGCAAATTTGACCTTTTGGGGGAGAAAGCTCCAGGTTGAATGAAGACTAAGATAGAGGAAAATCACTGTGAACATGAGTGACATTTATTAAGGTCTAATATGGACATGCACTGTTGTAACCCCATATTAAATCTTCATGACAATTTTATGAGGTAAGTGCCATTATTATATTTATTTTATAGATGAGGAAGCTGAAGCATAAAAGATAATTTCCCCAAGAACACTATTCTGTTCAGGTGCCTAGTCATAGGCATTAATCTTGGTGTCTATGGTGTGTCACAGAGATTCATTGTGGTCACTTGCTTTCACCTGTGCTCCAGAGACTGTGACTTTGGTGTTTCCAGGGCATTTTACTCAGCTTAAGTCCTAACCTATGTCTAGGCTTATATAAATATCTAGTTGTTTCCAAGGAGCTTCAACACACCTATGTGGATAAACCGAGTAGTCACACACCCAGGCTCTCAAAGCACACATATATTTATTGTAATGAGAAAGAAAGTGGCACCTTTCTCCACCTTTATCCCAGGATAGGGATTTAATATCTGGACACCCTCTTCCAAGGTTGTTGCTGTCTTAGTCCATTTTATGTTGGTATAACAGAATATCTGAGACTGGGTAATTTATCATGGCAGAAATTTACTGCCCACAGTTCTGGAGTCTGGGAAGTCAAGACCAGGGGTCCAAGTCTGGCAAGGACTTTCTTGCTTCATTATCTCATGGCAGAAGGTGGAAGACAGAGGGATACAGGGAGGGAGAAGGAAAAACAAAAGGGGGTTGAACTCATCCTTTCTTAAAGAACCCCCTCCTGCATTAATCCATACATGAGGGCAGTGCCCCCATGACCAAAACACCTCTTAAAAGTCTTGCCTACTAATACATCCACATTGGGGATCAGATTTTAAATACATGAACTTTGAGAGATGCATTCAAACCATAGGCCTTTTTCAACAAAAATTAAAGCCCTGGTAGTAGTTTCTCTGGGACCCAGCAATCTTAGCCATTGCTGGGTCCCTGAAAAAGATTATTGTTCTGAGGACATAACAGAGTTAAGTTTGGTTTTAGGGTATCACCTGAAAAAACCTTTTCTGAGCCTTAGCCAGTAAACAGAAATTAGCAATATTAGAGTCTATTTTTCTTATTTCTGTGTTAAAACACATAACTAGTTAATTGTCCAGCTTCCCCAAGAGTACCCTATGAACTTAGAGATTCACCTTCCTACACTTTTTTATATCCATAGCATATTTTATATCTGTGGTGGTGTTCCTAGATAAAAACACAACACCCAGTTAATGTAACTTTCAGAGAATTTCAGAGAAATTATTTAATGGGGCATCATGTATTTTTGTATGCTGGATCTAGCAACCATATTCTATAGCTAACTCATTTAGAAGTGAGGAGAGGAGTGAGCTACTTATTGGGTAAACCATCTTGTTTATGTAGATTAATTTGTTAACACTGGAAGCTAAAATATTCTTGAGGCCAGCATCTGCAGATGGGTGCAAAGTTTTCTCTAACTCATTTATTTCAAACTGTATATTTTGAATACTAATTTTATTCAGAGTATAAATCTAAACATCTTCAGTATTATTTGTATGGTTCCTTTTCCCAGGGTAAGCTTATCATTATATTAGTTTTTAGAAACTCTCCATTCATTGGGGATTAAGGTATCTCATAAAGATTAATTTTCTTAAGCACCAAAACTTTTAAATTTGAAGTTTTTATAGAAATCTTCCTGATGTGTATTTCACACTACCTTATCTACTTGAAAGTGATAAATTGAACATGGCTGCCTCTGGACAAAGCAGTGTTATTATCATTAATATAAATTCTTTGGGCCATTAATATATAATATGCCCCCAAAGTCTACTGGAGTATATAAGACGATTTTTCCTGTTTGTAAACAGTATCACTGTGCTGGGCTCTTGTGATTGTCTATATGCTGCCATTTGCTCTCCTCTCTGTACACCTCTGGGAGATATATCTCATCACCACCAGTGAGCCTCAACTCCTGAATTATAGCCTTAATTTAAAACAGTTGTGTGGGTAAACAACTGAGGGAAGCACATACCCGCATTCAAGTTCATTTGCTTTGTTCCACCTATTTTTCTTGTGGCTACTTCAGAGGCCTGCTTGCACTTTTAGGTCTGTGGTTTGCTCTTTATAGTTGAGCTTTGGTTCTGTGTTTGTCAATATTACTTCCCAAGATGTGCTCCATAGGACTCAAGTTCTGTAAAATGTTAAGAAATGCCTCAAGAAAAACTTCCATGATTGAAAAGTTTGGAAGACAGTAGGCTAAAAAAAGTTAAACCTGTAAAAGCTTAAAGTCACCTTTACAGGGGTTTCCATATGCTAACACCAGGTGTTTAACATGGGATATAGCAAATTTTGATCTCATCTGTGCATGCAGTAGCTTTGGTGAAAGATCTCACTGGATACATTGTGAAGTTCTGTTATGACTTACAGTTGTCACGTTAACATGGAAGCTGTACACAGAAATAGAAATCTTAAGCATGAAATAAGTTCCATTCTAAAAATTTAGAAAAGAAAGGAATAAAATGGGGTAAAATTATTTATAATAGGGATAAAATTAATATTCTTTTTGTATTTAAGTCATTACTTCTTGGATATAGTTCTTTGAAAATAATAGATATTGAGTGTACAAATCTTCAGGACAATAATTGGGGGGCAGGTTTCTCATTTAGAAGAATAACATGTCCAGGTTTAGAACCCATTAACTATAATAACAGAATTCCATCCTGTTCTCTGGACAAATTCAATGAGAAGATAAAACAAAGGTGAAATAGAATTCATTGCTTTAAATAGAAACTTTAATAAACAGGCCAAATGATAAACTTGCTTCTTTTTCCTTTTGAAACTGCCACTCTTTTTCCCCTTCTGCTCTTAAAAGTATATATTTTAGATGAATATTATTGCTTTTAGTCAAGTGTTTTGATATTATGTTGTCATTTCTTTGGAAGTCATTACTACTAAATATTGAAGGAAAGGACTGTTACATTTGTTGAAGGGAACACGTTAATATTTGGTTTAAATAGGTGTGTCATTTGCCTTTGCCTAAACACACACACACACACACACATACACACACAAATATACTTGTATTAATTCTATTATAAAACATCTAATCATGTATACCAATGCCCTCCATCCTCTGTTCTGTCGCATGGCTTAGCACCAATGATGGATTGTGACTTGTATAGTTCATCCCTTTTAGATACTTGTTGCAAAGACAAATCCGTAACTGCCCGCAGCTCCACTGCAGCGCCTGCTGGACTCTGCAGCTTAAGTGACCTGTGTGGCAGGTTAATTTTAATAATAACAGCTAGCACATATGTCAGTTGTGCTTCTGAAGTGTTTTACACAACCATGTGACATGAATACTTTCATCATTTTCATTTTACAGATAAGAAAATCAAGGCATACTTGACTAAGGTCACACAGTAAGTGGCAGAGGTGGGATAGAAGTTTAAGGAATCTGATTCTAAGAGGCGGTTCTTAATAACCATTAAGAATAGAAAGATGGGAGTGATACTTAGGTTATTCATGAAACTGTAATCCTGCACTTCCAGAATCTTCCTAGGGTTTTCTTGAGGCAACAAAATCACTAAACCGAACCTTACGTTCATGAAGGTGTATACATCTTTCTGTATTTTTTTCTTTCCTTGGTCCAATTTTTAATAGGTTTCTGTTCTTTCATGCCTCTGATTCTTTTCTTTTCTTTTTGACGATTGTCTCTGTTTCCCTGGCTAGAGTGCAGTGGTGTCATCATAGCTCACCGCAACCTCCAACTGGACTGAAGTGATCCTCCTGTCTTAGCTTCTCCAGCAGCTGGGACTACAGGCGTGCCACCATGCCCGGCTAATGTTTTCTATTTTTAGTGGAGATAGGGTCTTGAGCTCTTGCTCAGGCTGGTCTCAAACTTCTGAGCACCAGCATTTCTCCTACAACAGCCTCTCAGAGCGCTGGGATAATAGGCATGAGCCATCACACCCGGCTTGCCTCTGATTCTTCTCCATCCTGATATTAAGAAGGCCAAAACATAGTCATCACATTCTCAGTCATTACATTATTGATAATTATTTTGGAAAAAATGCTTCTCTTTTCATGTTTTAGGAGGAAATGTATGCAAAACAATTTCATCAAAATTTATTGAATGGACTATGCATATATAATCAAGCATTTTAGTGTTGTTGACTGCAATCAGACTAAAGTTGTATTAGAATTCTGGCTCTGAAAATTACCATGTCACCTTGAATAAGTTACTTAACTGTCCTACACTTTAGTTTCCTTATCTGTGAAGTGGTGCTAATAATTCAATTTATCTCTTAGGGCTGTGAACATCAAATGAGATAATGCCTAAAGTGCTCAGCGGTACTTGCTTGTTCTAAGCACAAGTGTTAACTGCTTACATATTCCATACTGATTGATGCAATGAGTGGATCTTTTTAGGTCTCCCAAATGAGAAGGGTAATATGGGCCCAGCAGTAATGGTGAAACATTTCTAATAAAATAGGAAAAAAAGAAACTTACTGAAAAGACAAAAATTGTGGGAATAAATGTCAATGGCACTGGATAGTCTATTCAATGTGATACACGCATATGTATACACACACAGTAAGAGAAAAATTGCTATTTAGACAGTAAAAACATGCAACAACAATAATAACACAAAGAAAATCAGTCTTAAAACTCTACCATATTATATTTTGGGATCTAGTATCTCATAATCATATGTACTTAGGTGTGATTTATGCCTTTAGTTCCGCTTGTCACATTAAATTGGTGTTATAATTCTGCTTGATAACACTAATATAAAAATTATATCTTTGTGGCCAAAATTATACATTCATTTGTGAACTTCCCACACTAAAATTAAATTAGGAAGGTAATTTTATTTGGGTAAGGAAAGTAGCTGGTGACGGGTATAGGTTCCCTGTTCTTTGTTCTTTATGGAGTGTGATAGACAACCTAAACTTGTAGGTGCCACCTCCCTGATCCCACCCCCAGCTTTTCTATGCTTGGCTTTTCTTAAAAATGTATTCCATTCTGTTTTAGCAAGCTCATTGGTGTACATACATTTGTAGGCTTATTTTAGTATTAGGCTCCAAAAAATTTTTAGGCAATTTCCCAGTCTCAAAAAAAAAAAAAAGATACTGGATGGTGTAGATGTTGCAGATCAAGTCTTTTAGACTCTTACTGCCTATCTTCTGAGGTAGTTAGTCTTAGTCTCAATCAATTTGTGGAGAAATTACTTTTGAAAGGCTCCAGAAAAACACCTGACCTTTAAGAGCCCCTTTTCTTCTAGATAGGATGACTATGTTGTCCAAACAAAAATTAGTAGTTATGGCTATATAAGGGGGTTGCTTCTGAGTGTGATGAGAAGTCTCAAAGGTGACATATTGGACACTTGAACTATTTCCAAGTTTTATGGAAGTGGTTTCCAGACCTCTTTTAGGGAGTGCTAAGGATCTGAGGCAGAACCACTAACGGTGCTGCTACAAAGAGTAGAGGGGTTAGGTAGCCAAGTAGCGAGGGCTTTGGGGCCTGCCTCTTAGTTTTCAATGAAAATAAATAGGCTTTTATTTGTTTTGAATATTGGGATTCTATTTTTTAAATTGAGGTATAATTCATATAACATAAAATTTACCATTTTAAAGTGCACGATTCAGTTTTTAATATATTTACAAAGGTTCTACATTGATCACCATCATCTAATTTGAGAATATTTTCATCAACCCAGAAAGAAACTCTGTACCTGTTAGCAGTCACTTTCCATTTTCCCTCTCACCAGCCCCTGGAAATCACTAATTTACCTTCTATCTCTAGGGATTTGCTTATTCTAGGGGTCCTCAAACTTTTTAAACAGGGGGCCAGTTCACTGTCCCTCAGACCATTCGAGAGTGCAGTGCACATTCCACACATGCGCACTATGGGCCCTGATGAGCCACTGCTAAACAGGACAAAAACACCAGGCGGGCCTGATAAATGTCCTCGGGGGGCTGCATATGGCCTGTGGGCCGTAGTTTGAGGACACCTGTGACCTTTTATACAAACAGAATTATGTAATATGTAGACTTCTGTTTCTGATTCCTTTCACTTAGCATAATGTTTTCAAGGTTCACCCATGTTGTAGTATGCATCAGTACTTTATTTATTTTTAAATATATGAATATACCACCTTTTGTTTATCCAGACATCAGTTGGTGGACATCTGGGCTCTTTCTACTTTTTGGCTGTTACAAGTGCTACTGCTATGAATATTTGTATACATGAACATATGTTTTCAATTATTTTGGGCATACACCTAGGAGTGAAATTGCTGGGTCATATTGTAACTCTGTTGAACTTTTTCAGGAACTGCAAAACTGTTTTCCCCAGTGGCTGTACCATTTTACATTCTTACTAGGAAGAAAATTGTTTACCCTCAATTCAGCAAGGTGAACTAAGGGTAAACAATTTTCTTTGGGAAAATGGAACTAGGGATAATTTCTTAAAATCTTCTAATTAATGTGTGAAAATGGGAAATTATTTGAAATCAGGAGGATCTAGTAATAATATCTAGGACATAGGTTTATCACCTTCTCACCATCATCTCTCGGGATTTTCATGGTACTGATGTCTGACTTTAAGTGTTGTATTTGACTCATGTGGCTGGGCGTGATGGCTCACGCCTGTAATCCTAGCACTCTGGGAGGCCAAGGCAGGAGGATCTGTTGAAGTCAGGCATTCGAGACCAGCCTGAGCAAGAGCAAGACCCTGTCTCTATTAAAAATGGGAAAAAATAGCTGGGCCCAGCGGTGCACACCAGTAGTCCCAGCTACTCAGGAGGCTGAGGCAGGAGGATCATTTGAGCCTAGGAGTTTGAGGTTGCTGTGAGCTAGGCTGACATCATCCATGGTACTCTAGCTCAGGCAACAGAGTGAGACTCTGTCTCAAAAAAAAAAAAAAAAAATATATATATATATATATATAGACTCATCAAACTCTTTACATGTGAACACAATATATCAACCAAATTCATATATTTATAATTTTGAAAGAACAAGAAAAACACTCTTGTACCATAGAAACAGCATTGTACTTACAGGAAGGAGACCTGGGCTTTGTGTCACGTTACTATAAGGGAGGTGTGTAGGTTTGAGTAAGTCCTTCAGTCTCTAGAGAGAGTCCAGTCCCTTCAGTTATAAAATTGTAAGCTTGGACCAAGTAATCTACAGGGTCTTTCCAATCGTAAGGTTAACAATCATCATAATGAAGGGATCCTAGAGAACGAACCCTACACTAAAGAGGTTTTGCATGCTCTGAGCTGCCTTTTAGAAAATTGGCAGTAGTCTTTAAATCAATCATAAACTAGAGGGCAGAGCTACAATGTGTGAATTGAAATGCTTCTTGGCCTTAATTTTTAGGTG